GGCTCTGAGGCTGAGGCAGGAGGGTCTCCTCTGGGCTCCTGCAGCAATCCCCTCTGCAGGCACGCTGCTTCAGTCAGGCCCGGCCCCAGGCCTGGGTCAGGGCGTCCACGCTCCGCAGGGGCCACCACTCAGTGGCAGGCCACGAGGAACCAGAGGCTGGCATCCCGCCAGGCACCACCTCACCCCGAGAAAAGTCTCAGCCCGAGCCTGGCGGGAGCGCGTCTGAGCCCAGGACACCCTGCAGCCCAGCGAGGGCAGGCGAGGTCACCGGAGGGCAGGCCAGCGTGTGGCCCAGCGCACGTGGCTGGGGCTGACAAGCGCGGTGAGAAAGGCCAGCAGCACCGCTGCGGCCTGGCCTCGGCGACCTCGCGGGCGGGCGCACACCCAGCTGGCGCCAGGGGACGTGGAAAAAGTGATGTCAGGCTCACGTGGCCGCCCGCCGCCCGTGGCTCCCGGAGCGGGTTTCCAGGAAGTCGAGGAGATAGCTGCGGGCGATACGGCCCGCGGCCACCGCAGGTATTACTTCCTGTGCCAGAGAAGGAAAATGAGGCGGAGTGATTTGATAAAACGGGCCTCGGAAGAGAGATAGAAAGAGAGATATGCCTGTTTGAGGCCTCAAGCCGTTAGCCCAGGCTGGCCTCGCACGCCCAGAGATCGTCCTGCCTCAGCCTCCCCAGGGCCGGGCGCCGCAGGCTGTGCAGTCCCACGGAGAGCAGGGCCGGGCCGAGGCTCAGTACAGGAGCCCTGCCGCCCCCTCTGGCTTGCCTGTCACTCTGTCCCTCTGTCCATCCGCCACTGCCACCCCCACCTCCCATGTGACGCGCGGGTCTCCCGCCGCCGCCCCCGAGGGCCCGCTTTTCTCTAGAGCATTTACGTGTCAAAGACACACAGTCAGAATAGAAACACAGGTGTGCGACAAGCGCAGCCCGTGACTTTAATCCCCACCCCGGCCTGGCGCTCTGGGGCAGGGTGCTTTCCTGGCTCAAAGGGACGAAGGTTATGAAAATCAGTGTGCAGGCCGGCGGGCGCACACCTGCACCCCAGGGCGCTGGCGGCTCGGCAGGGGGACCCCGGTCTCGGGGCCGCCCCACTCTCTGCGTGGCCCGTGACCCAGGCCGTGCGGTGGCCCCGTGGGAACTTCATTTCTTTTCTTTTAATTCGTCATGTTTTGGGCGTCACCGTTGTGCAATGTAGCGGGGACTCAACAGCGGGGCGTCACTGCCGGGAAGGAAGGTACCCCACTTCCTTTTACGTCCCGTGCCCTTCTTTTCCTCTGCCCCTTGGCCCATTTCTGTGTTGCCAAAGGTCTGCCTGTGAATTCCCCATCACCTGTTTTATTTTATTTTATTTTGCTCTCGGGTGACACGCTGGCCTTGTCCTAGAAGAGGAACCATGCAATGCTGAAGCTCGCGTTTCTGATTGATTTCACTCAGCCACGGGGTCTCAGGCTACACAGAATTCCACGGTACTTGAGTTTGTCCTTCTTCGTGGCTGCATAGTATTCCAAATGTCCTTTATCAGTGTTTCTGTGGGTGGACACACAGGGGGGTTCCAGATGTCGCTGTGGTGAGTCGTGCTGCTATAAACCCGGATGTGTGTGGGGTGCTGAGGTCTGGCCTCGCTTAGTCTTTCAGAAAGGCACCTCGAAGGGGAACAGCTGGGTTCCAGGGAATTTCCAGGGTTTGAGTCTGGGTTTTATTTATTTTTTCTGTCCTTTTGAGACAGATTCGCGCTGTGCTGCTCAGCCCGGCCCTGAGCTCACTTTGTGCCTTGAACTCACAGAGATCCTCCTGCCTCAGCCTCCGAGTGCTGGGCTTAGAGAGTGGCGGGTTTCTGCAGTCAGGGCCGGAAGGGAAAGACGCAAAGCAAGCGCCCCTTCTCTGAGGGGTGCTGGGAGACGCCTCCCTGTGCTAGAAATGCTGACTGTTCGCAGCGTGCGCCTCTGCTCCGGCCAAGCCTGCTGCGCACCGCGGCCAGGAGCCCGCCCGCTCGG